TATTAATATCAATATCAATTTTATTTATATAGCACACTTAAAACAACCAAGGTTGGCCAAGGTGCTTCACAGGTTAAATACAACAACAAGACACTACTCACACAGTAAAAGTACAGCAATAAAACATTATAATATACAGTATACGATATATAGTGATATTAAAATTGCCAGGAATAAAAACAAACTTAACTCGAAGGAAATGCCAAAGAAAAGAGATGTGTTTTTAACAGTGATTTAAAACGTTCGAGAGTTGGGGCGGTTCTGATATGGACTGGCAGGTTGTTCAGGTTAGGGGCAGCTACACTAACGGCTCCATCGCCTCTGGTTTTAAGTCTGCTTCTGGGTACATCCAGGAGGAGGAGATTAGCGGATCTCAGCACTCTAGCTGCAGTATGAATGTGAAGAAGTACAATAGAGCCAATCCATTAAGGCATTTAAAAGTTAAAAGTAAGATTTTAAAATTAATCCTGTGATGAACAGGAAGCCAGTGGAGGGAGCGCAACACAGGTGTGATGTGGTCCCTCTTCTTCTTTCCTGTCAGGAGGCAGGCAGCAGCATTTTGGACTAACTGCAGGCGCTGAATCGATGACTTGTCTAAGCCCACATATAAGGATTTGCAATAGTCAAGGTGGGAAGTTATGAAGGCATTTATCACCCTCTCCAAATCTTTAGGAGGGAGATAGGTCTTTACCTTGGCTATAGTTTTCAACTGGAAAAAGCAGGATCTAAGAGTGGCGGATATCTGTTTATCAAATTTAAACGCACTATCCAATATAACACCAAGACTCCTCACAGTTGAGCAGCTGTTTGAAGTTAAAGGTCCGAGAGAATCTACGTCAAGCAGTTCAGGGTGTCCAAACACTATGATCTCTGTCTTATCTCCGTTTAGGTTGAGGAAATTTAGGTTCATCCATGTTTTGATGTCCTTCATACAGTCAAGCAGGGGCTGCAGTGAGCCCTTTGCTTTTACATTCAGGAGCAAATAAATTTGAATATCGTCTGCAAAACAGTGGAAAGAGACGTCATACCTCTCAAAAATGGAGGCCAGGGGCAGCATATACAAAGAAAATAAGATGGGGCCTAAGACAGAACCTTGAGGGACACCGCAGGTAAATGGAATAAATTGGATTGCAATTTTACACTATATTGAGCGTTTAATACTGCAACACTACTTAAAGGAATAGCAGCAACTGTTTAGCCAGTTTAGCCTTAAGACTGGATGCAGGGGGAAAGGGTTAGCCCAGATCTGTGAGGTAATGTCAGAACCACCAACCAACACATCCAAAGCTCACCAATTGATACATATCCTCCTGTAAATTAACTCATACAACATTACATGCAGACACTCCAGGAAGTTACTGCATCTGGCCAAATAATCATTACTATGATATTATTGCACAGTCCACAAGCATTAGTCAAGAAAAGGATGTCAGATATAGGCTCGTATTCACACCAAGCATGTTTCAGGCGATTTCTTAAACATCTGGCATGTTACCTCATCTTGTACACATTGTTTGACAAGTTGGGAGGAATGTTATTCAAACTCTTTTGGCACAAACATGATCAGTCACCTTATCTTCTGTGTGTTGGTGAGTTGTTATTAGTTCGGGTTTATGTCATCGCTACTTTGTTTGGTTTAAGGCTTAAAAGTCTTTATGTAGTGATATTCTGAAATATCTGTGAAGAAAATGAAAGGGGCATTTACTTTTTAAACAGGCGGTTGAAAAAAGAGAGTGCTCATGTTTCAACAATATACACCCAAACCTAAAAATGTGACTTTCCCACCAAAGAAAACTAACACACTCTACATGTAATCACACTCTATTTGATATACTATAAACCATAAAGGCCTCTGATGGAAATCCCCACCATTCCTGGTTTACTTTTTCAAACCTCAACCCTTCTGTACTCCACCCTCCACCCCTCACCACCTCCTGCTTCGAGTCCACATTCACACACAGTGCACACTTGCATACTGTAGATGTGGGTCTCTTGCATTCGTCAAACTGGGATGCAAAGCTGATTAGCTTCCTGGCAGGAATGGCACTCCTGCAGTCAAAGTCGGGTTCCGGAGGGCCCAACAGTCAGTGGAGAGCTGTAGCCGCCGCTGTTTGTTTGCACTGTGTCCTAATTTCCGTGAATTCTGACCTGACAGGAAGCGTGGAGGGGAGACGAGACAATGGACTATTGTAAGACTGCACTTTATGTCCATGTGAGGCTAAAACAGGAAAACGCAGTAAGACCGGCGCATGCATACACACACTCTAACCTGCACAAACACACAGTCACAGAGATCCAAGCAACACTGTCATGTTCCCTGTCCTCTTGCCAAAACAGCATTACAAATTTAGTTAAGCTCGTATACCTTGATGAGCTACTGCTGGTATCAAATACTTGGGCTGATAGATAACTCCCCATGAAAGAGAAAAAATGCCTTTATTGAAGTTTGGATGATACACAAGTCAATTCATTGGTCTAAACACACTACTGCCTCTCTCTAAATATCCAAACTGCATGAGTTCCTGGGTCCTCATTACAAAAACTTCCTTGACATTTTGGATTTGTGGTATTATAGAAACATGTTTCTTAACTGCATTAGGAAAAATCCCATCTTTTCTTAGGTTAGGAATTTAGCTATTATAGTACTGTCATAACTAAAAAAATTCATAAGTTAGGATGGCAGAGACCCTGTCCTGAATTTAAAATATCTGCCACCACTGTTGTTAGGCCTGTATGGCAATTACAATGAAGGTAGGAAACAACATGAACACTGAAATATTATAACTGTAAGGCTACTCAAACCGTATGATGATGCTTTAAATTTCCCGGACCACATGTCAATTGCCCAGATGATTAATTTTGAATTCGATAGATGTGCTACATCAATTAAAATTTTTACCTGGGCCTATAATTTGGAAAAAAACTTCTCAAAAAGGTTGGATTTGCGTTCCTCCACCGCCTCAGATACAGATACAAACACAGACAGAGGCATGACAGGACGAGTGCCAACTGAAGAATCGGGTTTGCAGTTAGGATTTCTTGAGTTAAAATAAGATACAAGGTCTGGAATGGGATAGGACACAGCACTTTATGAATTGCTTCTGTAATAGGAAGATAGGAATTTTCCTATCTTTGAAACTCAAGTTAAGATAGGACAAGCAGTTAGGACATTTTTCTGTAATGAGGCACCAGACCACTGTGTCCATGTCTCCGCCTGTGATGTCGGCCATGTCACCTTTCAAGTCAGCTGGGAGAGCTGAGCTCTGACAGCAAATGATCTATGGATTCACACAGGCTGTCAAAAGAGGCAAAGGTAGGGAAAGATGTAGAGGAAGGGAGGCTATTTGCAGACTGGAGGTATGTGGCAGAGCAATGCTGTTTTCTGTGCCTCATGTGCAGCTGAGAGTATGGATTCTCTCGTCAGAGCCTGTGAATCTGAAGGTGTGATAACAGAGACTCTTATATAAACTGTACCATGTGTTTACTTAGTGGATCCATTGGATGGCGGGGCCCAAGGCCATGATAGAAGAGAGGTCAGGATAGGAGTGTGCGTGTGTGGTTTTGTGCTGTGAGGAATGTCAGTGTCTAACCTTTGTGCTCTTTGCGAATGGTTGATTGCCCTGGAAGACTGACCCATGTGTGCTTCATTCACACACACAGCCACACCCCAGGCTTGTCTCTGTTCTAAAGCATGAACAAAAAGCCTAATCATAACCACACACATGCAGTACATGCTCCGAGTGGTTGGACATGTGTGTCAACAAGTGGATGCTGATCTAAGCCGGTGTCTGTCTGCCTGTGTTGGGTGACATGTGTCAGTGTAATTTCACTTACCTCACTGTAATTATATGTCAATATGTTTGGCTCAGTGGCATCTAAATAACAGTGAGTGTGGCTTCAGCTGTAAGTTTGTAAGTGTGAAAACAGCAGTGTGTGGAGAGTCTGTTGCTTGCTATTTTAGTATGATGAGGGAAAACCAGTTTAAGAGTTGGATTTTTCTGTGATTGAGAATGGCAGCTATATTTGGTCACATTCTGTGAAGTTGTGGTCCAGAAAACCAAATCAGCTAAAATACACTAAAACTGAAGAGTTGTGGGGTAATTCTCTGGATTCATCACAGGAGCAATAGAAGAGCATCCTGATTGGAAAAACATCACAAACTGGCATGGGATGTGCACAGCCCAGGACTGGCAGGCTCTGCAGCAGGTGATTGGAACTGCTCAGAAGATCATTAGTACCCATCTCCTGAGCACTCTGGGAACTATTGTGATGCTTCATGATCCACCATTGCTGTGAGGAAAGGGGGGGGGGGGGACCCCCACAAACAGTCCATTGGAATGATCAGAGATGTCATGACACTATAGGGCTCTGGCCCGATGAGTAGAGAAACAGCCAAATCTACCACTGTGGTGGCCAACAGATCAAGGTTACAGTTGTTGACAGTGCGTCACCCAATTTGTGGACTGTCTTAAGATGCAAAGGTTCAACTAAATAGCCCATTTCTGTAAGAACATTCAATCACATGTTTTCTTGCATCTCTCCCCACATCCCCTTTTTAGAACACAAATGTGGCCACAGTTAACAGACTTGAGAATCACATTATCTACCCCCCCCAAATATATGCAGATTATTGTGTACTTTAAGCTCAATGACAAGTTTGCAAAATGTAAAGCAGCCATTCAAGATGGCTGAAAGCACTGCACAGTCATTGTTACAGGTTGTATTTGTACTTTAAAGGACTACATCAAGAATTAGCATGACGCCACTTGACGCTAGAGTGGTGGTTTTCTGCAAACACTTTAAACCCTATAGTTCAGTATGGACAGATTAGGCCAAAAAAAAAAGTTGGCCCCATCCTGGTAGCAGTTTGAGTTGAAGTGATCCCACTGGGTAATTACTGAATGCTCTGTTTCAATGACCAAATGAATTTGCAAGAAACTAGGCATAGGCCTATTTGTCATTTAACATTTCACTAACTTCTGGAGAACAAGACAAACAAATCAAGGCAATTGTTTATTTAAAGCAGAGACGACAGGTAAATGCAGAACCACTATGGATGCACAGCTAAATATCGCATGGTTCCCAAACCTTGGGTCACTAACTGAGTCTCAATGTGGTGGGGCCGCGGTCGTCGGGGCGGACGTCGGGGCCGCGGACGTCGGGGCGGACGTCGGGGCCACGCTGGTCGGGGCGGACGTCGGGGCCACGCTGGTCGGGGCGGACGTCGGGGCCGCGGACGTCGGGGCCACGCTGGTCGGGGCGGACGTCGGGGCCGCGGACGTCGGGGCCACGCTGGTCGGGGCGGACGTCGGGGCCGCGGACGTCGGGGCCACGCTGGTCGGGGCGGACGTCGGGGCCGCGGACGTCGGGGCCACGCTGGTCGGGGCGGACGTCGGGGCCGCGGACGTCGGGGCCACGCTGGTCGGGGCCGCGGTCGTCGGGGCCACGCTGGTCGGGGCCGCGGTCGTCGGGGCCACGCTGGTCGGGGCGGACGTCGGGGCCGCGGACGTCGGGGCCGCGGTCGTCGGGGCGGACGTCGGGGCCGCGGTCGTCGGGGCGGACGTCGGGGCCGCGGTCGTCGGGGCCACGCTGGTCGGGGCGGACGTCGGGGCCGCGGTCGTCGGGGCCACGCTGGTCGGGGCGGACGTCGGGGCCGCGGACGTCGGGGCCACGCTGGTCGGGGCGGACGTCGGGGCCACGCTGGTCGGGGCGGACGTCGGGGCCACGCTGGTCGGGGCGGACGTCGGGGCCACGCTGGTCGGGGCCTTTAGAGCCCAGTCTCTCTTCAGTCCGACTTTATGAAACATGAAAGAAATATTCAGTTTTTACTGTATCCACAATGTCATAGTGTCAGGGTATTTTAGAATAGTTAGCATGATTTTAAGTCAAAGCCAAGTTAGTATCGTTTCAGAGCTGAATTTTGACACTATCGCAGTTGTTCTTACCTCTCACTTGCCTCTGCAACCCATCAACAGGTTTTTCATTTGTGCCGCCAACTGGCAGACAAGAACCTATGGATAGTGCACATGATGTTAAATTGTACTTTTAATGGCACAAAATCTCCGTTTGTTAGAGCTAAGTGACATTTCAGAAAATAAGTAATTTTCACAAGTTATCACAAAGCATATTTTCATAACCAGAAGATTCTGAAAATATAGTCTCACATTAGCTGTACAACACTACACATTTCTTAAACACAAGCTTCACACAAAAGGAAGATAAAAACCTTTGGCAAGACAAACAGTCAGCACGCAAATAAGCACAGCCCGAACAGCTCCCATTGCTTCAGTTACCAAGCGAAAATGCTACCTGTGCCACATGTGAGGATTAAAAAGCCCATCACGCTGGTGACACAGGTGCTGCCGATCAGCTCTAATTGGAGGAGTCGGAAGGCCTTTCTCATTTCATAGGCATAAACATGTGAACCTGTACAAAGTGTATATATAGAGTATGACTTTGCTGTTGTAAACATTTCTGTTGCTGCTCAAGAAACCACATTTATTTAAATTTAAGATATTAAATTCTAATCTATTTATGAATTTATTCTAAATAATTTAAGGTTAATCTTGATTATTTGATGATTTGTGTGTTTATTTGTTTGAGACACATCTCTCTGTATTACCAAAAACAACACTTTACTTCTCTGATAAAACTTTGGTTTGTATAATCTGAATAAATCCGTTTTCCGTGTGTTGAACAGCATTGTGGGAAATGGAGGATATCAGAGGAGCAGGTTGCGGGAAGGTGAGACAAGACTTCATCTCAAATAAACTCCTGGAATGTGGGGAACATTGCAGACTGATGAGCGGGGGGATTTTTCCTTAAAACAACAATAGACAGTCTGGGACTAATAGGCCACAGAATAAGCTGGGTGGCCTGGCCTGGCTGCTGGTGCTGCCCTGAGCTGGCCCAGGTGCTGCTGACTAGGGTGGAAAAGACCTCTCAGTCTCCTCGCAGCTGGCTGGACAGACATGCATAGACACTCACACACACACACACACACACACACACACACACACACACACACACACACACACACACACACAGCTGGTTCCAGTGGTGGCCCAGCTGCAGCAGCTGCCACACTGAGCTCTGGATGGACTGGGTCACAGTGAAACACCTGTAAGGTGGATGCAGTCAAGTATTGCTGAGGATCAGGCCGACCCGGGAATGAAGTAATGCATCTGGATCAGATTTCATGTGTTTGAGCTGTTAAATGTGCACTTTAACTGTGTTTGTCATGCTGAACAGAAACATCCCTCCTGAAGTTAGAAAGCAAAACATTTCAGTCACTTCACTTCATTATATTTGTATGACGGTTATCAGACTATTTTCACTTTACAAATATTGTGGGAATAATATTACAATAACGATGATATTATGCTGCACGACAATAGCTGTGAGAACGAAATTTCAGTGCTTTCAGTAAAAGCTCAGTGAGCTTGCTGTTATTCCCCTCCCTCCGTTACCTATAACCTACCTACCTAACACATACTACGTATCTGCAATATACACCTGAGAGAGGTGAACAAACATGTTGACTGCACCGCAACTGCTGCGCCATTCATTATAAACTTTGGCTTTAAAACTTGAATGCTGAACGCAAAATAGGTTAGTAACAGGTTAAAGGTTTATTGTTGATCACAAAATCTTACAGTTTTATTTAGTTATAACATAACACTGGGTTTAAGAGTCTGGGGAATGTGTTGACTTACAGTAGTTTATAAGCTGTCATTAATTGTAGACCAATGTACATTAGGCTACATGGTTGTGCTCTGTGCAAAACATGTAATGTTACAGTTTTATTTTGTTAATGTTACACTAGGTTTGAGAGTCTGCGGGGTGTGTTGACTTACAGTAGGCTAGTTAATAAGCTGTCATTAATTGCATTGCACATTACGTGGCTGTGCTCTGTAAGTGAAAAACATGTTACAGTTACAGAATTCCTTATAGCTATGTAGTGTTATAAGCAGCCTGGATTGAACGCAGCAGGTGATACAACATTCATTATAACCATGAGTGACTTGAGACTTGACTTGGATTCTAGCTCAAAGACTTGAGACTTGACTTGGACTCTTGTTTAGTGACTTCAGACTTTACTTGGATTCTAGCTCAAAGACTTGTGAGCATCGCTTGTGCACAGCCCAGGACCGGAGGGCTCTGCAGAGGGTGATTAAAACTGCTCAGAAGATCACCAGTACCCATCTCCCGAGCATCAGTGATATATGTGATGTGAGGTGTCTACACAGAGCCCGAAGGATACTAAAGGACAGTAGCCACCCAGCCACAGCCTGCTCACCCTGCTGGGAAGAGATACAGAAGTTTCTGCTGCCGCACCACCAGACTGTAGAGCAGCTTTTCCCCCCAAGCTATCAGACTCTTAAACTGTAATTCATCCTCAGCTGCTCCATTGATTATAGTTTATGTTTATGTCTGTTTACCATTTTTGTAATTGCTTCTATATTAATGTATATTGTCTGCTATGTAGCAGACAGGAGTTACAAAACTCAATTTCATTATATAGTATAACAATAAATGTACCTACCTATGTAATTTACATTTCAGTAAATTATTTACTAATGAATTGTAATAAATTTTTTTAGTGTAGCATTTTTCCATCATTCTACCCTGGAATCTTTTCTTCAGTTAGTGCTCAACCGTATTTCCCAGGGTGTCACTGACAACACCCAGAAAAGGTAGTTCTCAGATCTCTCAGCCGTTTATATGATGAAGTGGAGAGAGTGATAGACAAAGACAGCGGGCACAGAACAATGCCATGGTGTGTGTGTGTGCTGCTTTGAGCCTCTTCTCCACCAGTGATGTATTCAACAATGATGCAAACTGTGGTTGTACTGCATTATATTTGCACTTTTCTACAATGAATATATGACTGTTTAACACTGGTGCAAAATGACAACTCTATAAAGAATGTCAGAATTTGACAATTACGGATGTTTTCAAACTCCAGGGTTGCTGCTGGGAATACATTATGTCCAACAATTTAAAAGTGTTCACGGTGGATTTGTCCTTCACTTCTGCAGGCTGCCCTTCACTTGTGTGGAGAGCCCAGTAAAAAAGCAACAACATGCGCCGACAAAAGCGGGCACTGTAAAATATTTATATTAAACAATTAAAAGCAGAGTCCCATTTCGATGCCTGTCCCTTTTACTAGCCTGGATTGGCTACATGTTTTGACAAATAAACGCAGGTCTAAATTAGATGCCTGGTCTGGTTTAAATAGAAGTTTTTTGGATGTATGAAACCTCTTCAAGTCCACGGGGTCACCTGCTTGAGCTAGTTCTAAGCTGCTTAGATCGTGCATACAAGTTCAAATGTTAAAACTTTTGTCAATATGAAAATGCTACACACTGTTAAATCTTTAGATTCTCCACAATTCAAGCGTGTTAATTTTATGTTAACAATTTATATTTATAAGTATGGTAAACAAGAGAGACAAAAAATGCAAGTAATATTCATACTGGTTGAAATACACAATTTGATAGTAGCCTATTTTTCCATTTTTGCTTAGCAAGAGTTCTGTGCGAAAGGGATTAAAAGGCCTGTCACAAATATAGTCAGGGTGAGTTTAGTGAGTCCGAGTCAAGTCTTTTCCTTTCTTCTCATCTTTTTCCTGCTCTGCTGCTGTGATTGCCTGTCTCCTTGTGGCCCGATGCCCAGCCACCACTGGGTAGCATTCCTTACCCCGAGCCAACGGGAAGAGAGGGATTGAAGGGAGAGAGAAGAGGAGAAGGACAAATGGAAGGAATGAGAGAAAGAACCACAGCGGGTCTCCTTATATAGCGTGTGATGTTATATATCCATGACCTTGCTGAGGGGGTGAGGACCAATTTCTTCTCCAAATTGTTTGTCGCTTTCGAGCTTTTTCACGGTGCCCGCTCATCATACACCTTCCTTTTCAGCCCTTCTGTTTATAGTCACATCCACTCACTCTTAAACAGCCGCTCACTCGTTACAACATTTTCACTCAGGCCACAAGATACCCACGCAGCTTGACCACGCAGGGGTTTACTAAAATACACATACCATACAAATACACAAAGCCTCGCTTTCTTTTTTTCACAGTGGGAAATGAAATGCTATATCTTGAAGGTAAGTTATGATGCCTGTGCTGCTGCTGAGGTGCAAAAATAAAAGATTTGCTGAGAAAGCAGAATGGACTCCACCCTGCCCTTCAGCTCTTATTTCTTCTCAGCCCTTCTGCATGTGTGTGTATGTGAGTTTTGAGGCCTGTAAGAGCATGTGTGTGCAGGCAATACAGAGGATCTTATGTGTGTGTGTGTGTGTGTGTGTGTGTGTGTTTGTGTGTTTGTGTGTGTGTGTGTGTGTGTGTGTGTGTGTTTGTGTGTGTTTGTGTGTGGCATCTGCTGGCAGATGTAGCAGTCAGACTGTGGGTATAGAGGGACGGATAAAGTTTGGCTTAGCCTGTAACTCAAGCCACACTGGAACAGAAGAGCCACGCATACAGTCCTCTCTCTTTCATTCTCCCTCTATCCTCTGGATTTTTTGTATTATCTCTCTCTTTGTCTCTGCAGTTGTCTTTACTGGTTCAACTAAACATGAATCTTCATCTGTCTTGGTTCTTCTAAGCCTCCCTCGGGTCAACACAATCAATCTTAATCACATGGTCAGATTTTGCAACTACATGAATACTGATCATAAAAAGATTTGCTTTTTAAGGTCATTTACAGATTGAAAAACAGCTCCTGGGGACTAAGAAAGTAATATATTACTTTGTGAAGTGTTAACACAGAACTAGGGGTACGAGTATGTTTGCACTTACCAGGGGATCCGTGGGAAGATTGAGGAGTAGGCCAGCTAATCTGAAAAAAATAAACAGAAACTATAATTTGATTTTTAAAAAAGTATATCCACATGCTTGTGTTAAGGGGGGAAAACATACAAATCAGTGCATGTAAATTGGCTAACAAGTGGGCAAAGAAGCTAAATAAGTGACATTTTGAGAAATATGCGTCTTCGATGAAGATTGATTCCACTCTTATGTCTGTACGCTAAATTTGAAGGTAATGCCAGAATTCTTAGCTTAGCCTTGTGTAAAGACTGGAAACAGAAAAGCTAGCCTGGCTCTGTCAAAATATAACAACTTCTATTTCTCACTAATTAACACTCTAATTGACATAGCTATCATCATATCATAGCTAGCGGTTTCCCCAACATCTTTGTGCTAAGCTAACCTGGCTGGTGGTGGTAGCTTAATATTTATGAGTGGTATCAATCTTCTGATGTAACTCGAGGCATGAACACAAATAAGCATATTTCCCAAAATGGCAAACTATTCCTTAGATAATGTTAAAAAACAGACAGTTAAAATCACTTAAGCTTTTTATGGAGCATTTGGTGTTGACAAAGGGGCACTCGAGCTGAGCTGATACGGCTGTGTGGAGAGTCATCAGACAAAAGGGTTTTGTATCTAAAAGTATCTTTTGTTATAACAGATATTCTGATCTATCATTGGTACTTCTTGAAAATACTATTGTACACTTTTATTTTCTGTTCCTTCCAGTTATTTAATCAAAAGCATCTCACGTGGACAATGCTCCACTCTAATACAGGACAAGTAACACAAGCTGTTTTGCTGCAGTATGTGTTTGAGGTGTGTAGGAAGTGTGTGTAATTTGGTGGGTAATGAATTAATAGCTATTTTGTTATATTCCTAAAACAATTATCTATTTATAACCAGCAGCCTAACGGTCACTAAGGTGGGTTTATGACCTGAAGGTTGGCAGTTACAATCCCTGTGTGGACTGTGAGAGTGCTTCCCTTCCTCCCTTTGTTTGGTTGCACTCGTCACCAAAACTCTGCAACTGTCCCAGTGGAAGTGTGGTTTCACTGAGCAGTTCCAATGACTGTCCCCAGCTAAAATAATTGGGTATAAAATAGGATGTTGAGCAACTGAAAACCAACAGTAAGACTTCAGTTTGTCCATGCACACTGAAAAAGTTAACCAAGTGCTTGTAACAAATTGCAGGACGTAACAATTGAAGTTAGTGTGATGGTGTCACATTTTTTCATACATCATACATCATATTTCATACATCATTATATTTAATATAAGAGAAGGGACCGTGTGTACATTTCTTACTGAACAAGACAAATATATTTTCTGGCTTATAACAGCTTACAGTACAATGAACTAATGCAAAATAAAGTGCACACATCCCAGTGCAATTTTAGATGTAATGAATCCCTGTGATTCACTGAAGACAAACACAGAACCAATGTCTTCATTTTAACTGCTTGACATTTTTTTAGCTTCACTTTGGCAGGCCGTTAGATGCTCACATCTATTTCCCAAAGCAGCTATCAGTATGGAAACTGACTCCAGTGAGCGATCATCAGTTGGCCATTCACAAGACACTGAAATAGTCTAACTGAGGATATCTGGAAGTATTCACAAAGTTGTATAATTAGATCAATGGCTTTAGGCTGCAGTGGAAAATATTCACAGCATAATGTAATGACAGAGGAAGAGAAGAAATGGCTGGACGAGCGTGCACAAAACACGGGCACACAGTGCACCAGGACAAAGTAATACCACACATCTTAGGATAATTAGAGAATGGAAAGGCATTTTTATATTCCCAATGGTGTTTGCCTCCACATGCCTCCTCCAGCAAATGATTAATTTAGAGTTCAGGAATGTGTGCTCACTGTTTAGTCTTCAGCTTCCCTGGGCTGTAACCCCTGACCCAACCAGATCACCTCTGAAAACCATCGGAACATCTGCTTATCCAAACTATACAGTGTACAAGTACTAGGACGAGCCTTCTTCTTATTAAAACTCCATCCATCCTTTCCTTGGTCAGAAACAAAATCCACTAACAGGAGACTTCTTTTTTTTTGTCAGCTCAGACTGAAAACGGGCTGGACAGGCATTTCCTGTGGGTGGGACCTGAGAGCAGAAACATTCTTGGGCCAGACACCTCCACTTCCTGTCTCTGTTAACGCCACACTGTCTGGACCTGCTCTTACTTTACACTTCACATGATGCTTTTATCAAGCAGTAGATTAAGTTTAAATTCCAAGATTATGAATGTTGCATGCAAACAAGAGTAAGATGTGCAAGGTCAAGGTCTCAGTGCCCAGATAATGGGGGGAACAAAAAGTCCTGTGTACTAAATGCTATATGAGACATAAAAATTATAGGAAAAGATACAGATGTTGTGCATAAAGCAAATTAAAAGAATATGGCAGGTTAATCTCTAAGGATTCATTAAACCTTCCTGTTACTGCTTTACCTGATGTGTCTGTGCACAGTGCCAGTACACACTGTCAAATCAGTTTTGTGTTTACAATAAATACATACAACTGCGGAAGATGAACATTAAGGCACTCGTCTGGTTGTGTTTGCATTACAAGTAAAGTTAACACATATCAAAAGCTCATATCCCCCAACCCCACAGTTCGCTCTACATTTACTCTGTCATGTCTTTTTCTCAGCTGCATTCACATGCAGAAAGCTGTGTGGTTCCAAGCGTCAAATGTCAGGGAATGTTTTCTTGTGTGTGTGTACGTGTGTGTACATGCATGTTTATGTGCACTGTGGGGTGTTGGAATAGGTGTGACAATCAATTGCTATCCTCCCGGGGGTCAACAGCTGCACCAAAGTGTTGGTATTTGACAGCTGGACCATTTTAGAAAAGGAGCGTGGGGGTTTACAATGGATGAGTGGTGTGGGTGTTTGTTGTAGGGAGTCCTTAAGAATCCATATGTGATAACTGTCAATTTGATATATAGTAAATGTACATAAGATGTTGATTTAAGTGATGAGAGCACCATTTCTTAGCTGATGCACTGATCCTGAGACATTTCCTCTTTTCTTAACAAAGTGACATTTCAGGTCAGATGATATTATTTTACGTCACATATTTTTAAAAATTAAATAAATAAACAATGCGGTGGTGCAGTGGTTAGCACTGTCGCCTCACAGTAAGAAGGTCGTGTGTTCAAATCTTGGTTGTTCTGGGCCTTTCTGTGTGGCGTTTGCATGTTTTCCCTGTGTCTGTGTGGGTTCTCTCCGGGTGCTCTGGCTTCCTCCCACCGTCCAAAGACATGCAGACAAGGTAGATTGGTGACCCTAAAATTGTCCTTAGGTGTGAGTGCGACTGGTTGTTTGTCTCTGTGTGGCCCTGCGAAGAATTGGTGACCTGTCCAGGGTGTACACCGCCTTACACCCGATGTCTTGTGGGATTGGCTCCAGCCCCCCGTGACCCTGTACGCAGGATAAGCGGTTGACGATGGATGGATATATATATTTATGATATACTATTCCCTTATGTCTGATTCACCAAAATCCTCAAAATGGTTAAATTTCATTGGCAAACTGATGTGATGTCATTCAGAAAAAAGTTTATTTATGCTTTTGCTGTTAAAGACCTTCAAATTCAAATGAATCATGTTACCTTGATGGTACTGTGATATGTGCTATAAATCTGAATCAAAGATGTACATTAGCCTTAAAAGAAGGGTGCAAATAACAGCATGTGAATGAATTAGATAAGGAAGTTGTGAGTTACTAGTCCTATAAATGGAAACTGCAGCCGTCTGACAGCTTTGTACTTTATTTGTGTGTTCTTGCTGCCCTCTAAAGGCTTATTGTGAACAACAACACCCCTCACAAGTCAAACAAAAAGACATTTATTCAACTCATGTTCATTCAGAGACAAAGCCTACTGAAGCTGTTCACACGGTGATTAACAACCAAACAAATTCTGAGTGTGTTTAATCACTCATCCACTTTGGTCCTTGACAAACACTTAACAGACGTGTGAGCTGTGGTTTTCGCAGGGTGCTAATTCGTCAGTAAGGGTTCTTTACTTTTTCTCACAGAGAGAATAGAGGAGTTCAATCTGCTCAGCATACTCAAATCCTGGCCTGCGGACGAAGGACATAACAGTCATGTTAAAACTGCACATGAAAACTTTGTCATTATATTCCCCTTTTGTAAATTAATAAATATATGTTGTTTTTAGTTTTCCAAAGTGAAGACCATTGTTCACAGACAGACAAGAGATATCTGCAGTTATCTCACCGTCCAGGTGTCTCCAGTATCAGAGGGATGTTGTCCAGTCTGGGCTCATTGACAATATCTCGGAAAGCAGAGATTCCAATGTGACCTTTACCTATGTCTTCATGGCGATCAAGGTTGCAGCCTAGTTTACCTGCAAAAAAAAGGACAGACAGAAAGAACAAAGAGAGCTCACACAGCAGAGCTAGATTCATAAAAGTCACAAAGTTTGTACAACTCAATGAATGTGTGTGTATGTGATATTTTTATGTGAAAGTCCTGGCTGTACCTTTGGAGTCATTGAGATGGATGGCTTTAAGATAGTGGAGCCCTACTTCCTGATCAAACTCATCAAGCATGGCCTTCACTCCTCCCTCTGCAGCCAGGTCATGTCCTACCAAGACAAGAAACAACACTTCACCACAAAAAGAATGGCAATTATTATTATTTTAATATTTGTTGCAATTGGACCGGTGACTGTTAAACGGATTTCTGTTGATTTTATGGACAAAAATATCCATGGCAGGTTTCACTCACCTGCTGCGAAGGCGTGGCAGGTATCTAGACACACTCCTACTCTGGTCTGGTCTCTCACTTTGTCTATAATGCTCTTCAGCTCTGAGAATTTACCGCCCACCGTACTGCCCTGACCACTCATGTTCTCCAAAACTGACCACATGGGGAGCAAAGGAAAAGAAGGCACTGTCAGTTTGACACACACAGTATTTGCTCCAACACCTGATACACATACAAAATTGGTTTGGCTGCCGTTATACATTCCTGAAGCACAGCCTGAGGGCCATTTTTGCTACTGCTTCAGTTTTTTTGTAGGCATACCACTGCAGTGTATTCTTTTCATACCAGCGGTGTAAGGGTTAAGTGAGTCTGTAGACTGTGGACAGTGCCATGAATAACAAGTAATGCAACACCTTTGTCAAGCCTGCAGTCTGTTCTGCAAATTGAAAGTTATGTATTAACAAAAGTCAGTCTGAGGTCAAATGGTTTTGTATGAGATCATGGCATGCTTAGTTCTTTTGATAATTGACCTGTAGTAGTAAAATCTGAATCTTCCTGAATAGGGTCAAAATATGTATTAAAGCCCAATATTATTAATAACATACAAAATGGATTACCCTGCCCTAGCAATTGAGATTTTGGTGACATTAGATTTTAATTTGAGTGCACTGGATTTGGCTACGACTGCTATGTTCTCTCCCTACACACAGATTCAAATACTCAAAGCGTTATCTTGCAGTAAGTTCTCATTCCTGCGAAGCTCATAATGTTCTCTGCTTGACAAGACCACCAAGTGATATGGATTAAAATCACTGTAACTGCTGAGGCTGTAGTTTGCAGTGTTATAGGGCAAATACCCCTGTGGGTCAGAGGTTCTCTACTGTTCCTCTTGACTAAAGCTGTTTTCATGTGTTTAGCAATGTCACTGTGTGTTTTTCCACACTTCTTTCCCTTGTACTAGATTCTGGCCTCATTTTACATCGAAGTTCCTGTCTTTCTTGGAAACTAATTTTTTAATAATAGTGATTATAAGACCTTGCTTATAAGACAGCAAGAGGAAAAGTCTCTTTTAAGTAAACATCAGTAAAAATGAATAGCGGTTACTGCAAAGCTACAACATCATACTGGGTGTCTTTGTTATTTTGTCCACCCCCTGTACCTGTAACCACAGCAGGTGTTTGCTGGTGAGCGTGGTTAATGGATCCTGCTATCTTGTCCACACACTGCTCAGTGGTGATGGAGCCTAGAGAGGAGCCTGGGTGGAAGTTGTAAAGGTTGAGGCCCAGGAGGCTGCAGCGGCTGAGCTCATCCACGAGCAGGGCCTGGCTCTTCTCAAACACGTCTGGGTGCAACATGGTACACAAACCAGAGGAGGTTGTCAGAAGAGAAGACGAGACACAGTTGGAAAGATGAAATACCCAATGCAAGACAAGGGCAGCAAGGCCAAGGACAGAATCTGCATGAGATATCCATCAGTGTCTCACAAACCCTCTTTAGGAGATCCACAGTTCATCAGGTAGGACCCATGAGGCAGGATGTGAGCTGGGTCGAACTCTTGTAGGAAACATTGCTCCCGAAACTTGGCTGCAGCTGTCTGGTCCAGTGCAGGCCTCTTCCATGACCGCTGTGAGCCCAGAAACAGGGCAAAACTGCTGCCACCCATCTCTGTGGAGGACTCCACTGCTTTCCATATCCCACCTGAGGACATGTAAGAAGTGAGTATGTGTTTTATTTACTTAAGGTGAGTCTAACAAGATGGCATTAGGCTTTACCTTGGATGCCAACATGAGCTCCAATGTATTTCTTATTAGCAGGGTCCTTTCTCCTCCTGTCTCCTCTCCCTTCAGCCTCCTCCTCCTCAGTGTGTTCACCCTCCTTTTCTCCTCCAAAAGCCTCCTCGGTTTTCCTTTTCTTTGCTCCTCTCTTTCTCGGACCCATGCTATCAAGAGAAAATTATGAGCCGTGCTTTTGAATTTGCAAATATCATGCAAGTCATGCAATCCTACCTCTCAGGGCGTTCCTACAATGTTTTTTGGCAAGGACAATTATCCTCCTCCCACTGCCTCTCCACAGGGGTGCCCCAAGGCTCAGTGCTAGGGCTGCCTTCTCTTTTCAATCTATACCACCTCACTGGGGACAATCATTCACTCATACAGCTTCTCTTACCACTGTTACGCAGACGATACGCAACTCTTCTTATCCTTCCCACCAGACAACCCCAAGCTCGGCGTGGATCACGGCCTGTCTCTCAGACATATTTGCATGGATGAAGGCTTGCCACCTTCAACTAAACCTCTCTAAGACTGAACTCTTGGTCATTCCAGCCAAGTAATCTATCCACCATGACATCAAACTACAAATTGACTCCTCAACCATCACTCCAACCAAGGTGGTGAGAAACATGGGTGTCATGATTGATGACAAGACATTAGGAATACAACATTAGGAAAATCAGGCCCTACCTCACTCAGTACGCCACCCAGCTTCTGGTACAGGCCATGGTTATCTCTCGCCTCGAACGTTGCAATGAACTCCTAGCAGGTCTTCCAGCTTGTGCGGTGAAACCCCTTCAAATTGTTCAGAACGCAGCACCGCGTCTGGTTTTTGATCAGCACAAAAGGACCCATGTCACTCCATTGTGACCTCCACTGGCTCCCCGTGGCCTCCAGAATCGGATTCAAGTCACTAATGCTTGCATACAGAGTGACTACTGGTTCTGCACCCATCTACCTAAACTCCATAATACACGTATGTTCCTTCTCGGACACTAAGCTCCTCCAACGAACGCCGCCTGGTTTCTGCCATCCCTTCACACAAAGCAATCCCAGTCCCGGCTGTTCTCATCTGTGACACCATGATGGTGGAAGGAGCTACCACACACCATCAGAGCAGGGGCGTCCCTCTATAACTTCAAGAAGCTCTTGAAAAGTCATCTTTTCCGAGAACACTTCCTCTAATAACACCTCTAACATGCACTTCCTGTGCTCTTCTTCTTCTGTCCCCTTACAATTATCTTGCATTGATTGCACTTTTTTTGTTAACTCTTACTTCTTTCTCTAGGTATTTACCCCCATTGATGTGATATGTGCCATTAGTTCTTAATAGTATTTATTGCTGCTTTATTGGATTGTCAGTTGTAGATCTCGTGCTGTATTTGATGACTGTATGTTGTTCCTCAAATGTAAGTCGTTTTGGATAAAAACGTCTGCCAAATGTGTAATTTAAATGTATATGCAAAAGGCTGCCCGTTTTCTGTTGTGACTTAAATGGCTACTTTAAAATATACGTTTGGGACGGCTGTTAACCTACGGAGTATGAACACTTGTGCTAAGTTTGGCTGTCAAAAGTTTATGAAGGTCAAAATATGTATTTTATGCATCCCTCCCGGTAGGAGCCAGCCAGTCAGAAGGCTTCCACACAGCTACCAGAGGCTAGCCATTGGAGACGCTTCATGCTGAGCAGCAAAATGGCCGCCCGTCAACCGACTGACTCCACAGCGCTTTGAAATTTAAATTCTTCTGCACATTAGGGTTTACACTATTACAACGTTAGTACTTATTTACAAACCAGTAGCTTATTACGCGCGCATCTTCATCCACTGACACTTACTTGACTATCCGCTCAGGCGCCGCTGTTCTTGTAGCCTCGACGAATGCCTCAAAAAGCTAAAAAAAAATCGCACTGAAGCACTTTAGCTAAGCTAGCTAGCACGCTAGCTTTTCTTCATATGTGATTCCTGAGGTGAGTAACGTTAGCTGGAGATGTGCTCAATGTTTCTAAACGTTGTAACATTACATAATTTGTATGCATGCAAAATGACTGCAACACATTTGTTAATGAAATGCCGTGCAACTGAGGTTGCTAGCCAAGCTAACGCCGTTAGCATGGCTACTTGTAGCTGCTCTATGTAGGTAACTTACCTAGTTAACGTTCGCTAGCATTAGCATTGATGTAGCAGTTCTAGTGGTTGAGCGTTAGCAGATATGTGGCTTAAGGCTCGTTGTATTTGCTGGTAAGTACAGTTGTGTACACAGAACAGAGCAGTTACCTAACTTAGCTGGTTGGCAGCAGGTTGATGTCGTTAATGTTAGCTTGTTAAAGTTCGCGCTGTTCTGTGCCTACGTATTTTAAGTAACTTAGCGTTATGGACAGAAACCACTCCTTAATGTTAGCCTTCGACGAAATATTTTTACAAGCAGCTGCTGTCGCCTGTATAAACTACCAAATGCAGGGATTGAGGTGGTTGGCTATTAACCCTAACGTCAACCAGTATATTCACAGTTCGGTTTAAGCGAGTTTAATCACCTGTATCTTCAATTTTAGCACAAGAAAGCTTCAGTCCTCTAAAGCTGTAACGTTAGCTAGCTAAGTTAACAGTTAGCGTTAAATGCGGATGAACTTGTGACAACGTTGACAGGACAACACAGGTAACGTTACGGTAACATTAGCTGGTGCAGTTTACGTAAGTGATGTGAATGCAGATCTGACGGCTCGTAATAATCAGGTCTGGCTTTCTGATCCGCAAGGCCTGTAGTCAGAATGCTTGAGGAAGGATGTCAGGTTCCTCGTCCGTAAATCCAGGCATCTTGCCTGCTGGACGTGTTACAGCACTAAGCAAAAACGAAACCATCTAAAGACAGACACCGCCAGGGCGTAGCAATTCAGTTTATGCATTTAAACAGTATGTTTTGTACTAAACAGACGATTTTAAACAAGGTAACATGATATTAGATATCTTGTGGGACTTTGATTATTGCCATAATGTACTGGTGTCATACAGTTGTGCTTTCCTCGCTACATTACAGAATGACAACATATCTGTAAGCCTATTAGACTGTTAAAGCTAGGTTAAATGAAAGGTGAATGCCTTACTGTTTGGCCAACATTTCTACATTACTAATGGTTTTCCGTAGGGAAAAAGCTGTCTATAGACATCTAGGTAAAACCTAACCCTAAAGCAGCATTATGGTCAATTAATATTTGTCAATAATGAGCCATCTGGTCAAAAATGACAATGTATTTCTTGTCTTTAAGCTATGAAAGAGTCTCATCTGGAAGATTCCCTACCACTCCTTTTTAGGAACAATTAAAGCACAAGACTGAGTCTCAAAGCTTCAGTTGGTCACTTGTTATAGTTTACATAGCCGCATACAGATTCAGTTAGTCTGCTGACAAGATGAGTTGCGCTTTGTAAACCGTCTAAATTGGTTGAACCTACCAGTGTGATCAGCTTGTAGTATTCTGTATGCTTATGATAGGGATAATTACTGTGTTTGTTGCCCACGTGTCCAACAGTATTCTTAGCTCTAGCACCTGATGGCTGATTCATCCAATCAAGCATGCAGTCCATTGTAGCTTACACACATGGATGGAGGCTCACGTGGCCATATAGCGACTGATGCTGTTTTTCCCCCTTGATTTTTGCTGCAGTTATTAACTTTGAGCAGTGATTTATTTTACAGTTAAAAGCCACTAGCTATACAAAGAAACACACACTGGTTTTAAAATGTGTGCCTACATTTTTAAATAACCTGCTTTTTTTCTCTAGAAGAAAAGAGTATCAGGACAGGAGCAGTAGTTCATGGAAGACAAGAAAAGGAAAAAAGACGACAAAAGGAAAAGGGAAGCCTCTCAGAAGGTGAGCATGTTCACAATGACTTGCAAGCTCCTCAGTCTTGTTTGGACAACATTGAACAAACATGCTGCAGCGCCATGTTCAACAGCAGATTGACAGGCTTTGAGAACAAATCATGAATGTATTGCTGGATTTAAATTTCCTGATTAGGAGTGCTATTTCTGCTTATTTGAGGTGAGGTGATGAGTTAGATTATTACAGCAAAAGAAAGGGATTCCATCACTCTCGTGAAGGAACTTCTCTTGGACTTAAATATTTGTCCAGCCACTGTAGAACATGCACACAGGTAAACCCGGATGGGTGAATGATAATTTTTACCATTTGGAAACTTAACTTGACATGAAAAGATACTTATTCCAGGGTCTCGACTGACTTGCTCCTACTGGAGACACACCTACCAATATATACACATAATACTTTCTCTTTGAAAACAAACGTTTGTGTTGAACACAATTCTGAAAAATTCCGTTAACAGGAAGCAGTTTTAGGTTGCACTGTTTCGAAAATATGAGATGGAAGTATAGGGAAGAAGACCAAATGGTGATGATCAACATTAACGTTTGAATTATGTCTGCCAGAAGAATACTGTTGAGACATAGCAAGTCTCAACTACTACATGATCTCGAATGGGGGGGTATTTATTATCCTGGCACTCCTAGGCTCAGAAGAAATCTTTTCTTTATCTAACCACCATCACAGTCTCATTTCATTATAATAAACTCTCCTGTCCCTTAGTTTCTTTTTCATCTTTGCCAGCGCATGTTGTTGTACAGGGGTTTGACATTTGAATGAGTGAAATGTATTTTTTTTTTCATGGTGTCCTCACTTTTTTAAAGCATGATTTAGTAACTAATGTGTCTTTTTCTGTTCATTTTAGGTTACAGAACAAAAAAACAAAGGTAAGTAGCACAGTGGTGTATGTGTATATGTCAAAATATAGAGAAATTGGGAAGCACTTCTTGGCCTTTGGTTGCCATTAGAAATACCCACTTTTTAACATGTAAAAAATAGGGAGCAAAATGTGCACTCCCAAATAAATACATTTTTAATCTTTGTTGCATTAGTGTTATTTGATTATTGCTGTTTCAGTCAGAACCAGACAATGCTGGTGCACACGGGCCTCTGCTTTAGAGACAATAGCAAAGCAAACAAATGTTGTCCGTGGGGTGAACTGATTATCTCGTCAACATAACAAACAATTAGTTGTTACTTTTATGTTACATTTTCATTATAAAGCTGACATATAACTGCCTAGCATCTTAATTACTCAAAATATAAGGTGACTATAAGTGGTAACCATATTTTCAGTTTCGGCAACCAAAAGCAGATGCTTGTTTGCCAACCTGGCAACTACTTTTAAAAGTTAGTGAGTATTTTTATCCACCTGCCACTGTGGCTGCTGGATTACAAAATCTACCAGCCATTTAATGTTTTTACCACCGACTTTCTTGTTTTAACTGGCAGTGTGTAACTGCATGTGAAAAATAATAAACCAAAATCTACAATATTCAAGCAATAGGCTTTATTTCATTAGGTAAATAATTTCAACTCGTGTATTGCTGTTTGTTTGAGTACCGGAAAAGCCTGCCAAACATCTAGCTAAGTAGCATTAGGCGATACCATAGCTATAGTAATAAGTAATATAGGCGAATGAACACACATAGTTCTAAGTAAAAGTTGCAGCGCATACAGAGGTCAAGCTCATCTAATCGGCTAAACTATAAAAACATAGGTAAGCAAGCTTTCATTGCCTGCAGGCTTTGTGAGTGCTGAACAAGTTGGCCAAGTTTAACAAGCTGGCTTTGTAATGTTTCTTGCAAATGCATCACAAAAGATACCATCTGAAAGAGCTGTGAAAGAGTGTTTTGCTGCTTTTTCATCTTTACACATTAAACGTTAGCCAGCAATAGATTAGAGAAAAATATTACATAAAATCACCCGCTTTGGGTAGGTGCTAATTTTCTACCCTGATTGTTATATATTATTGTTATATATTATTTTTTCTATTTCTGGACTTTAATAACCTCATAACTAAAACATGATTAGAAAATTAATTGTGCGCTGTTGTCTTGAGATGTACTCATGCTAAATTTCATCCACTCCGTTTGTCTCTCTGCCTTGCCTTCCCTGCAGTGCCAGACTTGACTAAGCCGGTGTCTGCCCAGTCTCCTGCCACTCAGAGCAGCTCTGCCTCCCCCAGCCCTGGACCCACCCCCTCTGCCTCCCCATCTCCAGCCGCCTTGGGCCCTGGCAGTGCTGCCACCCCGTCACAGGGCGGCAACAATGCCAAGCGCCTGGCGGTGGCCAACGGACAGCCCACCTCCACCGCCATTTCTTCCTCCACTGCTGGCGGACCCAGTGCTGCTGGAAACGGCAGTACAAGTAGCGGTGGCGGAGCCCAGGCCCCTCAGCAGCAACCACGCTACATGCCGAGAGAAGTGCCGCCGCGATTTCGCTGCCAGCAGGACCATAAAGTGCTACTGAAGAGGGGTCAGCCGCCACTGTCCTCCATGCTGCTGGGAGGGGGAGGAGGAGGGGATGGCCCCAATGCAAACATGGCTGCTGTCTCAGGTAAATGCTGCAGGTCATTTAGAAAACACCATGTATAGACTATTTAGATAGGTTCTTCCTTTTGACCCCCAATGTCTCTCTTTTGTGGATTTGCTTTTTCAGATTCTGGTGCAGCTGCCTCCTCATTGGCCCTCACCTCATCATCAGTTGCTGCTTCTACTACTACTTCTAATTATGCAAATTCCATGTGGGGGGTGAGCTCAGGCAGCCAGGCCTCCTCTCAGGGCAGGGAGAAGGTGATTGTCGATGGCAACGACCTGGAGGAGTGGCCTAGCATAGCTGGCAGTGATGGGGTAGGAGCTTCTTTCATCGGGGCTGGAGGGGGCGGCAGCAGCAGCAGCAGCAGCAGCAGCAACAACAACGTAATTCCTGTGAACAGCATCAGTGCCTCTGGCAACCAATCCTCACCCACTTCCTCATTCTCTTTGCCCAATGAATGTATGCAGTCGTCCAACGGTGTGGCGTGGGGGATGGCTGCCTCCCAGGGTCATCTTGGAGGAGGGAATGCAGTAGCTGCTGCTGGGGCTCTGCTACAACAGCCCTCCTCACTTTCCAAAGCCTCCGCTGTGCCAGGGAGCCATGATGCCAGTGGCCCTGTCGACGGCAGCAGTGGGATTCCAGGTGCCAACTTCAATCCAAATGCCAACCCTTCGGCCTGGCCTGCCCTGGTGCAGCAGGATGGGCCCACTGCTGCAGGTGAAGGAGGTCCATCTTCTTTCCATCACCAGGCCCCTGGAGGGTCTTTGTCTGCCAACAACTCTGCTTCCCTGGGGCTGGGAGGCGGGGTGCTGGGGGGTCACCCACCTTTATCTGTGAATCAATCAAGCACCCATCAGCGCCAACTTCACCAAATGCAATCCAGAGACAGAGAGATGGGAGGGGGGAAGTGGGACAGCGAATCAGCGGGACCAAAAATCGCAGGGGGGGAAGGCATTGGGGGAGGAATGGACCGTGGTGTGGGAGGAGGCGAGATGAGTGTGGGAGACCACAGCCTTGCCTCCTCATGGAGAGGCCAGCCTTCTTACCCTGCAGCTAACTCCAAAACGGGTGCCTCAAGGACTGATGGATGGGAGGGCAGAGGAGGTGGCACAGGGGGATTTGGCGCTGCTGAAGGGGATAATGGGACCTCGGGTTGGGGATATCCGAGTTCCACTAGTGGGGTTAATGCTTGGGGCAGTGCTGGAAATGGGGGAAACAGTAGTCAAACCTCCGGGGTATCTCAGGGAGGGTGGGGGACATCAGGGGTAGGAGGAGAGAGAGGGGTTTCTGGTGGTGATTGGGGTGGAAGTGCCACTGGTATTGGTGGAGCTAATTCAGGAGGTGAGGGAACAGGTGAAGCCTGCAGCAGTAACAGCAGCAGTAGTGGGGGCAGCACAGCTGGCAACCCCCCTGCCACCACCTCCTCTTCCTCAACAGCA